TGCAATTGACCCTTGCAGCCAAGGGATACACACACACACACACACACACACACACATCACACACATCACACATGCAATATACATATTGCAAACCAACTAATTGATGTTCAAATACAACTGATTGGCATCAGGAAAAAGGAAACTTTCTAGTCAAAACTCAGTAAAAAAAACTTTTCTATGATTGATGGATGGGATTAAAAATTAGTTTTATGATTCAGTAAGTACAGCCAATGACGAACTTCTTCCATTTGAAATTCTGGCTTTCTGAGGTTGGTGGATGTTTTTCCCCCCAGCAATGGCATCCATTGAAACCTAGTGTTGAAATAAATTGAATTTAGAACCAGGCTTTCAAATCACTTTATCATAAAGCGTCTAAGATTTCCAGAGATAATAAAACATATTCAATCACATTCTCAAAATATTCATTTATTTAATATCATTCTGATATTTTATTTAAGGACAAATTAGATTTTGTACATCAATGAAAATACATCATTCTTAAATGTCATTTATTTCATCTTTATCTCATTCTTTTTAATTTCAATTTCATGTAGGTTTCATAATGTTTTGGACTATTTTCTCCTCTCTCTATAATTTTATTTGGTGAGCTCATCAGCTTCCATAGATTCAATTATTATCTCTATGCTGATGAATCTCAACTCTATTTATCCAGTCCTAACCTCTCTCCTGACCACTAGTCTAACATCTTCAACTTTCTATGGGATATTTCAAACTCGATGTCCCATAGACATCCTGAATGCAACATATCCAAAACTGAACTCACTGCATTTCCTCCATACCCTCCCTTCTTCCTAACTTTCTAACTACATTTGAGGGTACTACCATCCTCCCAATCACCTAGGCTTACAACCTAGGGGTCATCCTCAATTTCTCATTATCAGTCCAATCTGTTGCCATGTCCTATTGATGTTACCTTCATAATATGTCTCATATACACCTCCTCTCATCTGACACTGTAACTATCCTAGTGTTGGCCCTCATTACTTTCTGCCTAGACTATTAGAATAACCTTTGGGTTGGTTTCCTTGCCTCAAGTCTCTCCTGCTCCATTTCATATTCCACTCCAACCAAAGGTTGAGAAAAGGAAAGTTTTCATAAAAAACTTTGTAAAGTTCAGGTCTGACATGTTAATATCTTCCATTCAATGAACCTGAGTGACTTCCTATTACCTCCGAGATCAAATAAGAATCATCTATTTGCAATGAAAGCCCTTCATAACCTTACCTTACCAGTCTTCTCATACCTTTTCATACTTTGTTTCTATGTACTTTGTTATTCAGTGACACTGACCTCTTTGCTGCTTCTTGTATATAATTCTCTACATCCTGACTCCATATGGTTTTACTGACCTTCTGCATGCCTGTAATTCTTTCCCTCCTTGTCTCCAGCTCCTGGCTTCACTGGTTTTCCTTCAGGATTAAGATATAGTCCACCTTGTATAAAAAGCCTTTCCTGAGCAAGCACCTTCCCTCTCTGGATTTTTTCCCATTTATTTTGTATATGTCTTGTTTGTACATAGTTGTTTACAGGTTGTCTTTCCCCATTAAATGGTGAGCTCCTTGAGAGCAGAAACTTTTTTTGCCTTTCTTTCTATTCCCAGCCTGTAGCACAGTGCCTAGCAGAAAACAGGCACTTAATAAATGCTTGTTGATTTGCTCATTGTTAATTTGAATAATGTTAGTAGGGAAGATCAGTTATCTAACTTATAAATAAATAAATACAGTTCTGTTAATGGTGCAGGCTCAAAAAGTTTTTCACTTGAGGGTGCAAGATCAAAGAATGTGGAGACCACTGCTCTAAGTAGTCACTGACATGTATGTTCATGTCAATGAAGATAATTAAATCTGCAGGTACAGGATACATGTATAGGAAGTCCTCCAATTCCTCAGATAGTCCCTTAAAAGTAATTCTGCTAATTCTGCCTCCTTGGACCAATATGGGTTTCAGTTGGCAAAATAATTTACATATTTAACAGTGAATTTCTTTGATGTCATTGTTCCAGAATGGCTATAACCACATCCTATTAGGAATCACATCACCAACAAATCTCTAGTTTCCCTGACTTAAATTCTGGCTAACACTAAAGCAATAGCTTCATTTCTTTCTTCTTCCTCCATTTCTTCCTTTCCAAGATATTTCTTAATTTCCTATCACAAAGAACACCTATACTTGAGAAACAGCAAAAATGAGAGTCTACATTTTAAATACTAGTTCACACTCATCAAGAGAAGCCAATAACTATTTCTGTTGTACTTTAAAGATATGTGTGTGTGTGTGTGAATTATTACACTGAGTTTAGAGTCAGGATGAATATGCAAAAGTATTGAATGCATAATAGGCATCATATGAACAGGTTTATCTTGCTCATGTGTTAGTTATGAACTGCTACTCCTGTGCTTGCTTTCTAAGCTTGTGACCACATGTTACCAGGTCATCAAGGACAATGGTGGAAGAAATAAGAATTTCTGTGATATTCCAAGGGAACAATTGTATGTGGATTTTCAAGCATACTCTTAGGCTGATGAGATAATTTTAGAGCAAGTGCTGAATCAAATTGTGCCCAGACTGTCTGATATATCTTCTTATCTCATATTGAACATCTACCTAAAATTATCCCTTAAGATAGAGATATATTATAACATATAACTATACGTTGTAATGGCCCAAAACAGATTAAGAAAAGAATGAAAATTATCTCTGTGTGTTTCTATTTCTGTCCCTCTCTCTATCTGTCTATGTGTGTGTGTTTTTTCTCTGTCTCTGCCTCTCTCTGTCTCTGTCTCTCTTTCTGTCTCTCTCTTTTATTTTCTCTGTCTCTGTCTCTGTCTCTCTGTCTCTCTGTCTCTGTCTCTGTCTCTGTCTCTGTCTCTCTCTCTCTCTCTCTCTATCCTCTTTCTTCCCTCTCCATGACTTTGTCTATGGCTCTCTCTCTCTATCTCTGTGTCTGTCTGACTATCTCTCTGGTCTAATTTTTCTTCCATATAACAGCAATTTCAGTACTTGAAGCCTCTAACCTTCTCTTTTCTTCTCAAGTCTGAACAACTCTATTTCCTTCAAGTGATGGCTATAATGTCTGGTCTTCAGTACCCTCACCATGCTGGGGGCCACCCTCTGAATATACTTCACCTTATTAGCATCCTTCTTAAGATATACTGGCTGGAATTTGATGCCAGATTGTGAATGTAATCTTGCCAGGACAGAGTATAGAATGATTTTCATGTCTCTTTGTTGGGTTTCCTAATCTAACTCTCTCTATCTGCAAACCCCTATGAATTATTTATCAAGAAATAAAATGTGAAGGCATATCCAGCTATGCTCATGGTTCATATAAAGCTCTATTAGCAGAATATGAGTTTAAAATTCTCAGGATTATCTTTGGGGTATTAGTAGATACTATGTTGGTAGACACTACTATTTTAGTAGTTAGTTAGTAGTAGTAACAGCAGTAGTTACTTTAGTTAGTAGATACTACTACTATATTTACTATTAGTAAATACCATTATGTAGTAGAAATCAAGTCACAAGCCCTTCCTAAACCAAATCCCCATACATTGACCATTTTCCTTCCTATGCACAAGGATAACTACTTAGGCAAAAAACATACTGAGCAAGTGCTCCTGGGTTCCTATCACTTCCATTATGATGGCTCTAAGTCTCTGCCCTCTTTCTTACAATCCCACTTTTTACCTATATTACAACACTCACTCACCACAACTCCAATTCTCCTCTTTGTGTCAGCTAACACCTCCACATTCCTCAGTCTAAAGGTGAAGAGAAGACATCCTCTCAAAGCCATTAACATTTTCCAAGGCAGCTGAGTTGATACTTGGTTCAAAGTCAACCTCCAGGTTCAATAACTACGTCCTCTCTTTGTGGCCAGGGGAAAAAATAAACTCCTTTCTTCTCAGATTTTCTATGCTAAGTGATTCAACTCTTGAAGTTTTGGGATCCATGATGAGTTCCAGATAAATTATACATACCTGTAGGGAGATCCCTAATAGTCTCTCTACCAAGTTGGTATTCCTGTTAGAACAGCTGGTGTGTGTAATGTCCCAGATTAAAGCTGACATGAGAAGTGTCCTTATAAGAATTGTGTACTGAGAGTTTTCTCATACACTTTTAAGTGACAAAAGAGTGTCTTATATCTGCACAAGTAAACTCATTCCTTCCAATACACCTATTACCTACTAGTAAGCTTACAGTTTGATTATTATAACTCTTCAGCAAATATTTGATTAATTTGTTTCTTCACCCTGAATGGGGCTTTAGAACACAAAATTTTATGGATCAGTACTGAGTTTCTATGGACCTTGAGGATTTGGTAAGGCTAATAGAAGCTAGCAGTGGCCTGTATTGGTGAGAGAAGGCTATACAGCTTACTGCAGGGCACAAAGACATCCACAGAGTTGGAGTAGTTTGCAGTCTTTAAAGACAGGAAACTTACCAAGAGAATGAAATTATCATATTAGCAGTATAAGAAAGAAGGGATTTAAATCACAAGCCCAGTCAATCAATTGGTTGGGTAGGCCAAGTACTGAGTAAAAAATGGGTCAAGATTGAATGGAATAACAACAAAAGGTACCAGTGGAAGCTAGAGATAAAGCAGAACAGTTAAGATACATAAGTAGCTTATTGCAATGGTGAACATAAATTACACAGAAATGAGATTCTTGAGAAGTGAAAGCTTTAGGGTAGATGTCAACTGCACCTTCTTAAAATAACAATGGTTCATCAAAAAAAGATGTGATACTTCAATATTCTTTATTAGTATACCTGATCATTCTTATTGCTCCAAGAAGAGTACTGTAATATATTTGAAAAGATAGAGGATCATGGAGAGATTTTAGAAAAGAGATCATGAGTAGAAAGTGTACACAAGTGTGTTTTGGCATCTGAGAAAGATAAATGATTTTTTTTAAAAAGCAACATATTTTACAAGACAACCTATAAACTCATTACCCTGTCATTTCTTTTCTTCACTAGAACATTCTTCTCTCCTTGAATTTCTTCATGGCAACTTTGACATCCTTGTTCCTCAGGCTATAGATTGGGGGGTTCAACATGGGGACAAGGATTGTATAAAACACAGAGGACACTTTCCCCTGTTCCATGGAGCTGATTGAAGAGGGCTGCAGATACATGAAGGCAGCTGAGCCAAAGAAGATACAAACAGCTGCCATGTGGGAGTTGCAGGTGCTGAAAGCCTTGGACCTCCCTTCAGTGGAGCGAATGTGGAGAATCCTAGCAGTAATGAAGATGTAAGAGCTAAGGATGGTCAGAGTTGGGGTAAAGATATTAAATGCACTGAGGCAAACAACCATCACTTCATTAATATAGGTGCTCGAGCAAGAGAGCTCTAAGAGAGGATTGACATCATAGTAGTAATGGTTGATGACATTGTCCTCACAGAAAAACACTCTAAGCATGCAGCCTGTGTGAACAGTGGCACCAACTAAGCCCATTATGTTCACCCCACCAACCAACCAAATGCAGCCCTGATTGGACATGATAACATTATACAGCAGGGGCCTGCAAATGGCAACATAATGGTCATATGCCATGGCTGCCAACATATGACACTCAGAAATTATAAAAATGAGGAAGAAGTAGAGCTGAGTCATGCACTCATTGTAGGAGATGATATTCTTCTTTGACACAAAATTCACCAACATTTTGGGGGTGGTTACTGTAGAATGACAGAGATCAATGAAAAACAAGCTGCTGAGTAAATAGTACATGGGAGTGTGGAGGTGAGAAGTGATGAAAATTAGTGTTATCATGCCCAGGTTCCCTACAACAGTGACCACATAGATGCTCAGGAATAGCAAGAAGAGGGGAATCTGGAGATCTGGCCTGTGTGTTAGCCCTTCAAGGATGAATTTTGTCACTGCAGAGTTATTTCCTCTGTCCATTTCAAAGGGATGCTCTGTGAAAATGGGAAAAAAGCAGCACATCAGAAGATATTCTCATGATTTTTCGGAGGTTCATAAAGAATGGGAGACTGAAGAGCAGCTATCTAGTGCAGTAGATAGAGCACCAGGCCTGGAGTTGGAAGAACCTGAGTTCAAATCCAGCTTTAGACATTTACTAGCTATGTCACCCTGGGCAAGTCACTTAACCCTGATTGCCTCCACAAAAGAAAAAAGAATGGGAGACTGAATCCAGGGTTCTTTGGCAATATGCAGTATTTCCATGTTGCCTCTGGACATCCATTGTCTCTAATGGCCACACAGACTTATGAGACATGTATACCCAACTATTGAAATGAACTTTACCTGAATTTCCTCGCAGTGAGTAGTATGGTTGGGGCAATGCTAGCAATAGGAGAGATAATGAAGAATCAGTCACAAAAAGAAATGACTACCAGTTTTTCTTTGTGGTCATTGACCTATCCTTGTCCTTGTGTATGTACTGATTATGTATCTGAAGTCCCGGTAAAAATTTAGATGACCTGAAACAATGATTTTTGTACCTACTTTACAGATAAAAAAATATTTTTTAAGATGTTTATTTGTTAGCTGATGTTAAAAGATAAAAAATCCAATGAAACTGTGGTCCTCTCCTTAATGAAGGAATACTGAAAGACAGAGGAGCTGGAGACCCCTTGACAACCACTGGCTCTGCACTTTCCCTCAGAGTACTCATTTCTTCACCAACCTCATGTTGAGATCTCTTGCTGACCAAGCAAGCTTTTCAGGTTGTGTTTCACAAAATCCCAGCCTCCTAAGACTTAGGTTTAGAAGAAGAGCATTTACTCACCTGTCAGTCTGAGAGCTTAGGGTTATCTCACCCACTGTTCTAGAAGGTAAATGGCAATGATGAGGGTACTGGTGACAGTTTTGAAAACTGTCTCTCGTGAGCCATTTTTATTCTTAGCCTAATTCAGAGTATGAACTTCACAAACTGAACTTCTCTCAGAATTCTAAACTAAATATCCCAATACCTGACCATGGCTTTTGTGGGAAATTTAACTTCAGATGTAAAGGAGAAAGCATCAATCATCAATATAACTGGAACTTCTGGCTTAATTTGTATAAGTGTTTTCTCTTAGGACTGGAGAGTCCTGGGATTTGATTACAAATACAGATAGAGGTTACTGAAGTCTCTCATCTGTCTCATTGGGAATACAATACTTCTGATTTCAGTGTTTGCTTTTCATCCTTCTTTTTTCTCTTGTTACTAAGTTTGCTTAGACTAAGTCTCTGCCTTGTGGTCTGGAGGGAAAGGGTCATAGAGAGTATCAGTGCTCTAAGATAAGTATTTCATATACTCCTTCATACATATATACTATTTGGTGAAATTTTGAAGGCACCATGATGTTGAGAGATAAAGTTCACCTTTTATTTTTCCTTTTCTTATAGAAAAAGGAAACTGAAGAAAATGGGAATGCCTACAGTTATTTTTAGATTCAGTTATTTTTAAGCTGGTATCATTCTATTATAGAAGAACTGTGAGTCTTGGAGTAATGAACGACCTGAATGATTCCTTCTTATAAGATGTAATGTTATGCAAGAGGGCAGCTAAATTGTGCAATGTGAGAAAGACTCCCCATTGTGAATTCAAATCTGACCTCAGACACTACTTATCTGACCCTGGGTAAATCCTGGTTAACAGGTTGACCCTGTTTTCCTCAGTTTTCTCATCTGTAAAATGAACTGGAGAATGAAATGGCAAATCACTCATATAAAGAAAACTTTATATGAGGTCATAAAGAATCAAACATGTCTGAAATGACTGTACAAGATAATATCCAAGTCTATCAAGAAACAATTACCTCTCTGAGCTCTATTCCCTTATCAGTAAAAGACGGATAATACCTCGCAAACTTTAATAATATAAATATCAGTTTTTATTGTTAAATTCATCACTATATATGTATGTATAAATATTATATAAACATATATATGCTTGCTTATATATTTATATGACTTTATATTATTTATATAATACACATATATAACATGATTTGCCTATAAATTTAGTGTGTAATATATTACCTTTATATTATATTATATAGTAGTATATTACTTTTATAAGTTTAGCCAGCTAATGCTGCAATACTTTAAGCATCTACGATTTCATCAGTATGGATGTTCCTTTCACCTACATAGACTACTATCCTTCTGTGCCTCAATATTTGTTGTCTTTGAGACATATTATGGAGAAATATATGTGTCACCTTGTAGCCAATCTTCTGGATAAAGTTATAGAACTGGGAAATACCTTAAAAGTCAACTAGTCTAATGTCCTCATTTTACATAGGAGGAACATAAGAGTCTAAGAAGTTAGGTGATTTGCCCATGGTCACAAAGGCAAATGAGCTTCTAAATTTACCTAGTCTTCTCCTCAGATAAAAAGCATACAGCTAATTTCTGTGCGTATGCTCCAGACCTTTCAACCTTAGAAGACAAAAAAAGAACTTCTGGTTCTTGGCACTATCTTCTAGAATCTAGTGTTACCCTCCAAACCTTGATTCAGACATTGTGGTACAGGGGGAAGAGTGCTGAATTTTGGGTATTGAACCTGATGTCATTAGACCTGAGTCTGAGTTTGAGCTCTACCATTCACTATCTATATTATCTAGAGTAGGTGACTTAATCTTTCCGAGCCTCAGTTCTCAATGTGAAATGAGATGATTTCTATATTACTGTATCTGTTCTTTCCTCCCAAATAGGTGGCCCAGAGGCAAGTACTTGGCCTAGTAGATGGAATGTTGTGTCTAGAGTCAGGAAGACCTGAGCTCAACTCCAGCTTCAGACATTTACTTGCAGTGGGACACTGAATAAGTCATATCACCTCTATCAATAACATTTTCCCCATAATTTTTCTCTGTAAAACAGGGATAATAATAACTCTCAACTTCTAGAGTGTATAGATCAAAAATATAAAATGTTTAAAGTACTTAGTACAGTGCCTGGCACCTAGTAAGTACTTTAACAGTGATGGTTTCCTTCTTCTGTCCCACCACACTCAATCTATCACGATCATAAATTCACTAATAAAAATGATTTAATTGTGCACTCCTCCAGAGGCCATGCTGGCTATCTTCCATACTTTCTAATCAGATAGAGCTGTTGTTGGTAAATTAAATGGAATAGTTATCAGTCACACCAACCCAGTTTACACAATTTCCCCTACAGTTGTGAATGATCACAATGGAAGAATCTTCCGGAGTTGCACATCCCACTTTACAGCTAAAATGTGGGAATTCTAATATCCTGTGGACCCAGAAACAATCCTTGTCAATTATTTCTGCTTCCTTTCCTTATGGAAACCCTTCCTCAAGCATATGAAAGGAAAAGACTTTATCATACCCTTGGGACATTTTTTTATGATGATAATAAACCTCTTCTCTATAGTACGGTATCATTGATATGATATACCAAAACTGCCCTCCCTAACTAGGTCCCCGCATTGGAATCTTTAGTCGTTTCAATCAATATGTGGGAGTTTATGTAGACTGTCCCTTGATAGGCTCTCCAAAATCAGACTTAGGACCTCTTCTCTTCTTAATAGTTTCCATCTGTAGTCCCTGACATAGTGGCACAAGCTAGAGAGATCTTCAAGGGCAATACGTAAAAAAAAAAAAACAAAAATAACTCTATAGAAAGAACAATACTCCCCCCCCATAGGGCTATATTCTCTGATTGACTACTAAATACTTGGCCCTGAGACTTTTTGACCACCCTAATGAGTTGATGTGTTCTTGATTTTCAGGGGGCAATGTGGTATAGCAGTATAAGCACTGGATTTGGAATTGAGAGTCATAGGTTTAAGTCTTTTCTCAGGTATTTACTATCTTTGTGATTATTCACAAATCACTTAGCCTCCTATGGTCTCAGTTTCACCACTTGTATTCATAAAGTCTTTGTGATGAAAGTGTTTTGCAAATCTTAAATTTATTTATGTGAAACAGATGTGAAATATTTTGACTCTAAGGTTGAGCCTTATTCCTATCCTCTAGGCAACCAGAAAGGTACATGGTTATATCATTAGAGGTCATCATGCCTCTATGTATAGGATGCCTTACAAGTTCATCTTTTAGGTTCTCACATAGGCTCTCATAAAATAATTTTAATATTAGTGCCTCTCTCAATTCCAAATGGATCTCATTTGGCAACTCAGTTACATAAGCTAACAACATATAACTATATATTATTTGGAATGGAGATACTTCCAAATCTCTATTTATCTTAAACTTCTGACCACTCCTGACTAGTCACCTCCTATCTCCCACCAGTTATTGTCCAATACAGAATGGTCTCTCTTAATTGCCTATGAAAAAGCTACTTATACCTGATAGTATAATAGAAACATGCTATTGCATGTTATTACATGACACTAAAATGCTAGTTCAAATTAGGCTAGAGAAATTAATATCTGTTTCTGCTGCACTTTAAAGATAGGTGTATGATATAATTGGCTGAAATAAAAGATGTCTGTCTACAGCTAGTTATATTGAAGGCACACCTAGTATACAATGAATAAACTACTCTTACTGAGAGACCAACCTTTTGGTCATAGGATTCTTCTTCTGTGCTTGTTCTCTAAGCCTCTACCAGGTGCTCAGGGTCTACAATGGATGAAATCATGATTTGTCTGATATTCCACTAGAATAATTACATCTTAAATACATCCTTAAGGTTATGAGATGAGATAGTCTCAGAGCAAGTACTGTTGCAGAAATGCAGCCAGAGTCTTGTCACACACTGAGCCTTTAGTAGAAAACTGATACATTACCTTAGGGGACAGTGCCATGGAATTTTCTTGTTCTCTGTCTCTATTTCTGTCTCTGTCTTTGTGTCTATCTCTATGTCTATCTGTATGTATCTCTCTTTGTGTATCACACACACACACACACACACACACACACACACAAACTCTTTTGTTGCTAACTCCAAAACTATAACAAGAATCTCTATCAGACTAATTTCTCTTTGGTACTATCAGATAATGAAATTTCTTCAGAAGGCTTACCATGGCTTAACAAGCAATATGTTTACACTCTAAACCACACATAATAACAAAGTTGGGCAGCATAGTTATCCCTTGGCAATCTGTAATAGCCCTTTCTCCTCTTTAGGAAAGTGTTTTCTCTAGAAGCATCCTTGCATACTGTTGTAAGGAGACATAAAATATACCTAAACTCCTGGTTAAAAAATACCTAATCAACCTGGCAACAGTCAGGGTGCTAATCATTTCTTTAACAACAAATATGTTCAATAAATACATTGTTTAGACAGTTTCCCCATTTCTAGAGCAAGTTAAATCTTAGGAGATGAGTTAGGCATCTGGGTTGCCTCTTCATACATCTATGAATTATTCTTTTATTTTTCGATCTATGCCTAATCAGAGAAAGCAATGACAATTTTCTTCTAGGAGGATACTCCACAATCCCCATCTTATCAGTACATTAGTGGTTTCTGGTCTCATGCCAACATAATTTCTAATACAAGTCAAATGGCCACAGCGTGGGATAGGACTTCAGAGGTAATATAGTTCCATTGATAGCTATCAGGAATTTCCTCTCAATAACTCTGACATTTTGTTACCCAGCTTCTTCTTGAAGACCCCTAATGATAGGAAATTGACTACTACCTTTGTAGCTATCCAATTACATTTTGAGATAGTTAGAATTGTTAAGAATTTTTTCCTTCCCATTCTATTTGGAATGAAGGAAAATAAATAATCCACATTCCCTTCAACTAATTTTCATTCTGCCTGGTCTTCAGTACCTTCACCAGACTGTTTTCTCTGTCCTAACATTGCTACAATTTGTCAATATCCTTCTGTAAATGTTCTGATCAGAACACTGCTGGTGTGGTCTGCTCAGGGAAGAATACAGAATGACTTTCACATCCCTTTGTTAGTCTGCTTGGTCTTCCAAACCTTCACTTCACTCCAATTATCCTCATTTATAATCCATCTTCATGTAAGGAAAACCTGGAGGCAAACTCAACTGTTCTTCTAGTCTGGATGATGCTGTATGAGGTTCATTCTGTCTTTTAGTGCATAACATTATTTGGTCCATTCTAATAGATTCTGTGTCCTGACTATGAAACCCACTTCCAACATGAGAATGACCACCTTGGGAAAGGTCCACCTGTACAATGATGGCTTCCATTTTCTCTGTTTTCTTGCCTTTACTCTTTGTCCTTGTGTTAAAACAAATTCACCACATCTGCTGATTCTCTTCTTTGTTTCTAAAAGAGGACACCTCTGTAACCTTTGGTTGCAAAGTAGATAAGAGTCACCCTTTGAAAGTCTCTTCTTTTCTGAGTAATCAGAAATGACATTTTTCTGAATCAAAGATTTTAGCAGATAGAGATATAGGCATAGCTATATTGCAAGGGCTTGAGAGCAAATCCTTGACAATTTATTATTTCTACAAATAATTTTAGCAGATGGAGTTGTAGGTATAGCTATATTACATGGGCTTGTGAGCAAATCCCTGAAAATTTATTATTTCTACACAACTTGGGAAGCAAAGAGGTAATTTGTGCAAAGAATCCCAGCCTAAAGTTGACTTGAAAAAATGTCTTTATAAGAACCCAAGACCTTGGAACCTCCTCACACACTATAGGTGGCATTGTACCCAAAATTGCAAGAATGATTTAGTCCTCTTCAATGTCCCTGATATTCTCTAGGAAGCATATAGTTTGCTAAAACATGACTTCTCAGGTAACCTTTGTATTCTTAAATTCAACATCTTATATTGGATCTTAGGAAACATAGGATTACTATGAAACTGAAGGATTTGCCAAAGCTTTCAGAGGGCAAGGACAGCTGATTGGTGTAGGAGATAGAGTGCTGGGCCTGGAGTCAGGAAGACTCATCTTGCTGAGTTGAAATCTGGACTCAGACACTTCCTAGCTTTGCGACATTGGTCAATTTACTTAATCCTGTTTGCCTCAGTTTCCTCAGGAGAAAAAAAATGGCAAATCACTCTGTCTTGCCAAGAAAACGACAAATGAGATCACAAATAGTCAGATACAACTGAAAAAGAGTTGATCAAAAAGAAAAATCAGAGGGCAACTGTGGTCTACATGAGAGAGAAAAAGGAAATCAATCAGGGTAGAGGCATTGAATATTCAGTATAGGTAAATAAATTGCCTAGGAGACTAAAGTATCTGGTCAAGATGATAGGAAAAAAGGTGGTCTAAGATGTAAGCCAATATTCAATGAATTCAGTGAGTAGACCAAGTACATACTGGAAAATCAGTTTTGAATTAATTGAGATTAAAAAGTGAGCAAAGATAGTAGAAATATACCAGGATCCCATTCCAATGGTTAAGGCAAATTATATGCTGATGAAACTCTTCAGGAATGTAAATATTCCATGTGACCTGCCAGTTATGTCATCCTTAGTTCTAAAATATGCAGTAGCCCATAAAACTATGAGATGTTATTTGATCTGATCATTATGATTCCTCCAAGATAATCATTATAATAAAATGAAGGATAAAGGACCCTAGAGTAGGAAAAGACAATAGAAAAAGGGTTTAAGACAAAGGTGCATACCCATGGATTCCAAGATCGACAAAGAAATATACTTGATCTCACAAAATATCCACATTGTCCAGAACAATGTCCAACTTCATCAATATTTCTTTTTTTCACCAGAAAGTTCTCCTCTCCATGAATTTCTTCATGGCAACTTTGACATCCTTATTCCTCAGGCTGCAGATCAGAGGGTTCAACATAGGGACAAGGATTGAGTAAAACACAGAGGACACTTTGCCTTGTTCCATGGAGCTGACTGAAGAGGGTTGTAGGTACATGAATGCACCAGAACCAAAGAAGACACCAACTGCTGCCATGTGGGAGCTGCAGGTGCTGAAAGCCTTGGACCTCCCTTTAGTGGAGCGAATGCAGAGAATGCTGGCAGTAATGAAGATGTAAGAGCTAAGAATGGTCAGAATTGGAGTAAGGATATTAAATGCACTGAGGCAAACAACCATCACTTCATTAACATAGGTGCTGGAGCAAGAGAGCTCAAGGAGGGGATTGAGATCACATAAGTAATGGTTGATGACATTTTCTTTGCAGAAAACAACTCTAAGCATGCAGCTTGTGTGAGCTGTGGCGCCAACTAAGCCCATCATGTATACACCACCTACCAACCAAAGACAAACCTGATGGGACATAATGACATCATATAGCAGGGGCCTACAGATGGCAACATAATGGTCATATGCCATAGCTGCCAACATATGACACTCAGCAATTACAAAAATGAGGAAGAAATAGAGCTGAGTCATGCACTCATTGTAGGAGATGACACTCTTCTCTGACACAAAATTCACTAACATTTTGGGGATGATCACTGTAGAATGACAGAGATCAATGAAAGACAAGCTTCTGAGTAAATAGTATATGGGAGTGTGGAGGTGAGAATTGATGCCAATCAGTGTTATCATGCCCAGGTTCCCCACAACAGTGACCACAGAGATGCTCAAGAATAGTAGTAAAAGAGGAATCTGGAGCACTGGCCAATCTGTTAGTCCAGCAAGGATAAATTGAGTCACTGTGGAATTTTTTCCTGTGTCTATTCTTGTGGCTTTGTAGGGATGGAACAAAGCAGCACATTAGAAAAATTCTTTGGAGTCTTCTTACCCAGAGGAGTTGCATACAGAATAGAAGACTGATTCCATGGCTCTTCACGGTCTTTTGCGTGTGTTGCTGGTGCCTCTGGATACCCAGTGATGTTCACAGACTCCTAACGATATTGGGACATTAAAACTCACCTAAAAGAATGAGCTTTGCTCTATTTTTATTTAATTGGACTAGTGATGACTCTGCTCTTGGGGCAGAATGCCCACTATCTGGCAACATTGAAGGATGGGTATTTAGTGTGCCAGTTCTTCATCATAATGTCTGACTTGTCCTTGTTATTTTTTATGATCTGCTCAAGTTTCTAAAATCAATTGAGATTTTACTGGCCTTCAAATGGGGCTAGATTCAGTAAGTTTCCATGATTCCTATATTGTTTTAAGAAATTAAACATTTGGGGCATCTAGGTGGCACAGTGGATAGAGCACTGGCCCTGAAATCAGGAGGACCTGAGTTCAAATCCGACCTCAGACTAAACTTGACACTTACTAGCTGCATGACCCTGGGCAAGTCACTTAACCCCAATTGCCTAAAAATAGAAAAAAAAAGAAATTAAACATTTTACAAACAAATGTTCAATAACTGCTTGAGGTGACAGAGTAAGAAAGTCAATGGAACTGTGGTTATCTCTTTATTGAGAAGTTCTTTCTCCCATTGTACTGTGACTTTAAACCAGTGCATGTCAGGAGCTACTGAAGACATTATAAGATGAAGAGACCATGTTTCCCAGGACCCTATGAGCTCATGACTGGGTTTGGAAAGAGGACAGATTGGTCACACATTCACCATTCAATCTTCTAACACATAGGTTCTTTACTAACAATATCCTAGAGGGTAAATAACTTTGACAAAATCAATAGTAGTAGTCCTTAGCACAATCCCTTATGCTCCATTTAATCCAACATATGAATTTCCTATTCTAAGCTTCCTTTATTGACATTTCTGATTATGGTATTTTTCAGAGCATTCACTCCAAATGGAAAGGGAGAAAATAGCATCCACTAATGATATAAGAGATGCAGATTTATATGAAATGAATGTTATCTCGTGGGATCAGGGAGTCTTGAGACCTAGTTAGAAATACTGACAAAGACTCAGAAAGATTCTTACCTCTCCTGGGATTTTAACTCTTCTTGGAAGAAGCCATTGTTACTTGCTCCCCAACTAGAATACTTAATAGATTTCATTAAGCTAATAAGTCCTTGATTTATTCTGGCTTATGGTCTAGAGATGAACAGTCAAAATGAATTTTCGAGCTCTAGGATCAATTCCTAACAAGTTCTGAAAATGAAAATAAATTAGCATTGATTACTTTGATTTGTTTTTAGTATGATTATAGGATTAAACTCCTTTCTTTAGGAAAAGCTAGCCCTAACAGCTAAGCCAGACTAACCATAGATAGTCTCTTAAGTCTAGGTTACCTATAGATTTAGTCAATCCATAGATTGATAAGCAGATAATTTAGGAAAATAAAATTATCATAAGCTCTTTTTTCTTTTTTTTTACATTTTTATTAATTTATTTTGATTTATCAATAATCACTTCCTTGGAGTTTAAAGTTTTTCTCCCCCTTCCTCCCCACCACCCTCCCCAAAACAGCATAAAATCTGATATAGGCTATACATTTACATTCCTATTAAACATATTTTCTCATCAGTGATGTTGTAAGTAGAAATTAAAACCAATAGGAGGAACCATCAGAAAGAGGAAACAAAACTCAACAGAAGAGAAAAAAATTAGCAATTCGCCTTCCATAGTTCTTTCTTTGGGTGTGGATAGCATTTTCCTTCACAAGGCCTTTGGAGATGTCTTAGATCCATGTATTACCAGGAAGGGTTAAGTTTATCAATATTAGTCATCATGCAATGTGGCTGTTATTGTGTACAACATTCACTTGGTTCTGCTCGCTTCACTCAGCATCAGATGATACAGGTCTTTCCAGGTTTTTCTGCAGTCAGCCTATTCATCATTTCTTATAGCACAATAGTATTCCATCACATTCATATACTTGCTCATTCACTCTTTAATTGATGGGTATCCTCTCAATTTCCAATTCTTTGCCACCACAAAAAGAGCTGCTATGAATATTTTTGTGCATGTAGGCCCTTTTCCCATTTGTGTGATCTCTTTGGGATATAGTCCTAGAAGTGCTATTGCTGGGTAAAAGGGTATGCATATTTTTATAGCCCTTTGGGCATAGCTCCAAGTTGCTCTCCAAAATGGTTAAATAATTTCATAACTCTACCAACAATTCATTAGTGTTCCAATTTTCCCACATCTTCTCCAACATTTATCATTTTCCTGTTTTGTCATGTTGGCCATTCTGATAGGGGTGATGTGGTACCTCAGCGTTGCTTTGATTTGCATTTCTCTAATCAATAGTGATTTAGAGCATTTTTTCATGTGACTATAGATTTCTTTAATTTCTTCATCTGAGAACTGTCTGTTCATATCATTTGACCATTTATCAATTGGGAAATGGCTTGTATAGTTATAAATTTGACTTAATTCTCTACATATTTTAGAAATGAGGTCCTTATCAGAGAGACTGGTTGTAAAAATTCTTTTCCAATTTTGTACCTTCCTTCTAATCTTGATTGCATTGGCTTTGTTAGTGCAACAACTTTTCAATTTAATGTAATCAAAATTATCTATTTTGCCTTTTGTAATGTTCTCTATCTCCTGTTTGGCCATGAATTCTTCTGTTCTCCATAGATCTGACAGGTAAACTATCCCTTGCTCTCCCAGTTTGCTTATTGTATCAGCCTTTATATCTAAATCAAGAACCCATTTCAACTTTATTTTGTTATATGGTGTGAGATTTTGGTCTATGCCTAGTTTCTGCCATACTCTTTTCCACTTTTCCAAGCAGTTTTTTTCAAAGAGTGGGTTCTTATCCCAGAAGCTGGAGTCTTTGGGTTTATCAAATAATAGATTACCATAGTCATTGACTACTGTGTCTTGCATATTTAACCTATTCCATTGATCCACCACTCTATTTCTTAGCCAGTGCCAAGCAGTTTTGATGATTTCTGCTTTATAATACAATTTAAGATCTGGAATGGCTAGGCCACCTTCACCTGCATTTCTTTTCATTAGTTCTCTTCATATTCTGGACCTTTTGTTCTTCCAAATGAATCTTGTTATTATTTTTTCTAACTCTATAAAATAATTTTTGGTAGTTTGATTGTTATGGCACTGAATAAGTAAGTTAGCTTAGGTAGAATTGTCATTTTTATTATATTAGCTCGGCCTACCCATGAGCAACTGATGTTTCTCCAATTATTTAGATCTGATTTTATTTGCGTCAAAAGTGTTTTGTAATTTGTTCATAGAGTTCCTGAGTTTTTTTCAGAAGGTAGACTCCTAAATATTTTATAATGTCTACAGTAAGTTTAAATGGAATTTCTGTTTCTATATCATGTTGTTGGGGTTTGCTGGTAATATATAGAAATGCCAATGATTTACGTGGATTTATTTTATAACCTGCAACTTTGCTAAAGTTGTTTATTATTTCAAGTAGTTTTTTCCTTGATTCTCTGGCATTCTTTAAGTATAACATCATGTCATCTGCAAAGAGTGATAGCTTTGTTTCTTCTTTGCCTATTCTAATGTCTTCAATGTCTTTTTCTTCTCTTATTGCTAAAGCTAGTGTTTCCAGTACGATGTTGAATAACAGTGGTGATAATGGACATCCTTCTTTCACCCCTGATCTTATTGGAAATGCTTCTAGCTTGTCCCCATTGCATATTATGCTTGCTGAAGGTTTTAGATAGATGCTATTTATTATTTTAAGGAAGACTCCATTTATACCTATGCTCTCTAGTGTTTTTAATAAGAATGGGTGTTGTATTTTGGCAATAAGCTCTTTTTTCAAAGGCTAAATTTCCATTTCTAGCAGAAAGAAAGATTGACCAAAGCTAAATTTCCTTTCCTACCAGAAAGAGGGGTTGACCAGAGGCTTAATTCCCCTTTCTGGCAGCTGGAGAAAATTCAACCTAGATGGCCACATGAGGCCTTGAGGCTGCAAGTTTGTCATCCCTGGCCTAGAAGTTAAGTTACTCTTTTTAGTCTTAGTAGATAAGCTTGTTTTTTCCTCTTGAGCTATAGTCTAAATCAAGTAATGGAATCTTCTAAGGAAGGTGAGGGCAGGGGGAGGGAGACAGAAAATGACTGCTAGCTGCTGACCACAAGTTCCTCTTTCCCAGTATGATTCCTGGTTACAAAAGGCATCACCTGTAAGAAAAGGACTTTCTGGTATGATTAAGAAAGCCTGGGATATATGCTATCTAGTCAGGTGTCCTGCCTTGTCCAATTGTACTATGTTTAAAACAAATTTCTGTCATTTAAAAAAAAATCCTCTTTTTTGTTATAAAAATCAGCTCTGTAAATCACTCAGGGTCTCTGACCTTTGAGGAGTCAGGTGACCTGATTTGATATGCAAATGCTAATTAAATCATAGATGACTTACTAACTTTTCCCTCAGTTTCCTTATTATTTCAGATAATGAATTTTAACAACTCCTTCTTAAATATATAGATTTTGGCAAATTTCCAAGCCATTGTAATGATGATGGTTAAGGATAAGGGGGGAATCAAACACTTCTGTTTTCATTTTTGTTGCTTGGGTGGGGGCAAAGGGAAACATTAGAGGAAATGTAATTATCTGAAATGCTCGTTTTAGTGTTCTTTTTGGTTTTAATTTATTGATGAGACACCATGATACAGAATGAAGAGCCCTAGCTTTGGAATCAGGATTGATCTGAGTTTCAACTATTTTCACTTATTGCATATACAACCAAGGTCAACTATAGCCTCTCTGAACCTCAACTTATTCCTTAATAAAATGAGATGCATCATATTTCTGTTATCGATCAATTAATAAGCAGTTATAAAGGACTTGCCTTGTACCAGGCACTGCACTAAAGTCTAGGAGT